CCCACACGTCTGGAGAGGTGTCTGTGACGCAGATTTCCTACCTGGGGGTGGGGATGGATTTGCAGATCTGGGATTTGAGGAGCAGCACAACTCAGAACCTGAAAATCCTGACCGAGCTCAGGTAGGGGAGGGAAATCTGCGATACCCAGGTGAGGATTTGTGCAGGAACACAACCCCAGAGCCGAGCAGGGAGTGAAGGAGGGGCAGAGCAGCGCGGAGGAGTTGAGTTCAAGGCTCTAAAGACATTTTGTCAGGGTGTGAACCCTCCCTGTGGTCTCTGAGTGGGGATTGTGTTACAGAACCCACCTGGGAAACAAAAAAAACATGGATACAGCTCCATCATCCCTGCAGAGCGGCTGGGGAGCCACTGTTTTGGGGTTGTGGCCCCTCAGCTGCTCACAGGAGCTTGGCAGATCCGCAGGGAGGGCCTCGAGGCTGTGAAAACACAGCTCAGGATCCGACAATTCCCTCGGTGTTCCCCGAGACGGGATCTGGGCTGGGAGGGATGAAGGAATAACACAACATTCCCTCCATTTCCTTCTTGCTGGGTGAAAGCCCTGCAGGGGTGACACTTTGGTCCAGCTGTTGGATGGCACAAAACCTTCAGGTTTTTATGCTGTCTGTGCCCAAATTTAACCCTCAGCTTCAGTCACCAAAATCCACAGCCAGAATCCTCGAATCACCAGAATCACCAGAATCACCAGAATCCACAGCCTGCCTGATGTGTTTTGCTGCCTGATGTGGGTTTTTTTCCCTCAGTTCATCCCCTTCTGGTTAAAATTTTTCCCTTCACGATAGATTTTCCATTAACAAAAGGTTTTAGGTAAAAGATCTTCAGCTTGGCCAAGAAGAAGCCAAATTCTCGTGCCCAAGAAGTGGCGCCATCAGGGCAGGAAAAGAAAAAAACTCACCAGAAACCATTCACCAGTGCCCTGGGCAAAAGTGAGAATTTCAATCCCCAGGGAAGTTTGCACATCACCTTTCATCAGCATTAAACCCAGGGTTGTTTTTTTTTTTTTAAAAAAAAGGGCTCAGGCCGTTTTACGACGTTGGGAGAACAAGTGCTGCCGATAAATAGGCGTTCAGGAGGGTTTTGGCCAAAAAAAAAAAAAAAGAAGCACAGAAATGGTTAACAAGGTAATGGTAAGAAACGTTGACCTTGATTTGTTTGGCTAAGATGTAAAGATTTTTGAAGGTCAAAGGTGCTCTCGTGTAGTGTTTTGGAGTCTAACTGCGTCTGACCCTCTAACATTAAGCTGCTGTGGCCTGCAGTTTTGAAGAGTGAAGCAAACCAGGGGGAAAGAGGGAAGGGGGAGAGAACAGGAAATGGAGTGAGGTGTTTCAGGAAGTTGTCAGGAGTTGACTGATTGATTCCAGATGGAGAGGGTCACCCTTGGTGACCCAGGAAATACTCACTGGGGGAAAGCAGTTGGCTCGTGAAAGGGAAGGGCCTGGGAGCTGGGGACCGCGGTGGAATGCGCATTCCTCCTCCTCCTGTCCATAAAACATGGCTTTTTAATCTCCACTATGGAACAATGGCGTTGTGACCTCCACCAGGAGAGAGCTGGGGCACAGGGAAGGATTTCGGTCGCTGTCATGTCCATGAGCCCACGTGTCCTTCCATGAGCCTGTGTGTCCTTCCATGAGCCTGTGTGTCCTTCCATGAGCCTGTGTGTCCTTCCATGAGCCTGTGTGTCCTTCCATGAGCCTGTGTGTCCTTCCATGAGCCTGTGTGTCCTTCCTCCACACCGTGATGAGGAGCTGGGTGGTGTTGTGGCAGTGATAGAGGTCTCTGCTGGATTTCAGATTACACCAAAAAGGTTCCAAATTTTGAGCAGGTTCTGCTGCAGATCTGAACTTTTCTTCTCGCCATGTGTGGCAGTGACAAAGGTCTCTGCTGGATTTCAGATTACACCAAAAAGGTCCCAAATTTTGAGAAGGTTCTGCTGCAGATCTGAACTTTTCTKCTCACCATGTGTGGCAGTGACAAAGGCCTCTGCGGGATTTCAGCAAAAAGGTTTCAAATTTTGAGAAGGTTCTGCTGCAGATCTGAACTTTTCTTCTCATCCTGTCCATGGGACAGGGTGGCAGTGTGGCAGTGACAAAGGTCTCTGCTGGATTTCAGATTGCAGCAAAAAGGTCCCAAATTTTGAGAAGGTTCTGCTGCAGATCTGAATTTTTCTGCTCGCCCCATCCCTGTGAGCGCTGTGTCTGCTCACCCAGGGTGGCCAAGCAGCTCTGGCCATCCTGTCACGGGTGGGGGCGGTGGACAGGAATGGAACCAAGCATGGACAGAGGTCTGGAGGTGCACCTCTCATTCCTGTTGGCCTGGGGAGCAGAGGATGCTCAGCATTTCCTCCTGGACTGGTTTTTACCGTTCCTCTGCCATCGCTGGGGGGGTCTCTGGTTTGATCTCCCACCAAAATGTGGCCCTTGTGCTGTGCACAGCCCGGGTGGTGATTCCAGCACTGACCTCTGCTCCCAGGGAAGGGCTGGAGCTGGGCTGGACTGCTTGGATCAGGGTGGAGATCAGGGAAAGGTTGGGTTTTAGGGACAGGTTGGATTTTGGGAAAGGTGGGATTTKGGGAAAAGTTGGAGATTGKGTAAAGGTTGGATTTTGGGAAAGGTTGGATTTTKGGAAAAGTTGGAGATCAGGAAAGGTTGGATTTTGGGAAAKGTTGGAGATTGGGTAAAGGTTGGATTTTGGGAAAGGTTGGAGATTGGGGAATGGTTGCATTTCAGGGAAAAGTTGGACTTTGGGAAAGTTTAGAGATCGGGAAAAGGTTGGATTATAGGGAATGGTTCTCCCCCAGAGGGTTTTGGGGTGCTGCCCAAGCTCCCCAGGGCATGGTGACATTCCCAAATCTCCAGAGCTCCGGGAGCATTTGGACTCTGCTCCCAGGGACGCTCAGGATGGGATTTTGGGGTCTCCGTGCCGGGCCAGGAGCTCGATCCGTGATCCTGGTGTGTCCTCCGAGCTCAGATCATTCCACGATCCCGTTCCATGTGTGACCCTTCCCATTCTGCCCCTGCTCCCTGCTCCTGTGGGTGTGCACTCACCCCACTGGTGTGAGCGAGCTCAGGGATGCCTCTGTCCCACAGCGTAACTGTATCCACGAGACACCCTTTTTATTTACATTTGGTTGCAATTTAAACACTTGTCGTAAATATTTCAGACACTGGAATAACTCAGGCCTATTCCCCTGCCGCCCCAGCATGCTCTGGGCCGGCCAGCGAGAGATTAAAATTTATTTCCATTGTTTAAGGGGAAATAATGAAGTGCATCTGAGTGGGCTGAGCTCCGTCATGCGGGGAGCGCTCCCTCCGGACGGAGTCGCGCCCCACCCTAGMGGGAATGAGGAAATCAGTTGGCACAGAAAAAGCAGCACATTCTGTGACAAGAATGCTTGAGAAGCATGAGGGTTGGGGATGACAAGAGCCTTTTGGAATGAATTAGGGCTGTCTGCAGAAAGAAAGTGTTCTTTAAGCTCGCCCGAGCCTGGGGAGGAACCARGGCTCTCCTGCTCTGTGTTGGATGGGGTTTTATCAACAATCCGAGCTCGACGTTGTGAAAATCCACAGTCACATCCAGGGTTTGGCTCTCTCTGGCTGTGCGTTCCTGTGGGTGTGGCAGTGGGGTGGAATTGAGCTCGTTTGCACCAACTCGTGGTCAAAACCGCTCAGTCAGAGGGAATCTTCTTTCAGGAATTGAAACGCTGTTTGTTTTTCCCCAAATTTAGTGGTTTGGAGTCGCTCACGTCTCTGCGTTGATGGGATTTAGAGCTTTGGATGTTGTGAAAACTTGAAGTGGGATTAATTAACACACAGAGTTCCTTCCTCTGAGAATTCAGATTGGAGCCCAGTGATGGAGGTTTCAAAGCTCCGCTTGGTTTGGGGCGCTCAGCTCCGATGATTTCCAGGAGGCTCCGTGCACTCACAGGTCCAGCCCAGGGATGATATTTGGTCCAATTTTCATGGAGTTTCCATCCTGCAGGAGCTGGATGAGTGAGGCCTCTGCACAGCCTGCAGGATGCTGTGTTAAATGCAATTAATTAATTAATTAATTGATCAGAATGAAGGCTGAAAACATTTTCCCCTCCTTCCTTGTGACCCCCTGTGGGACGCGCTGCCATTTTTCACACCATGAGGGTCCAGCCCAACCAGACAATTAACGCCGAAAAGTTGAATCTTGAATAAATTTCCCTCCCTTCCCCAATATCCAGGTGGTGCTCTCGACGACAGTGAATGTGGATGGGCACGTGCTGGCGGTGTCCGACAACATGTTCGTGCACAACAACTCCAAGCACGGCCGGAGAGCCAGGAGGCTCGACCCCTCGGAAGGTGGGAATTCCGGCATTTTTGGAATTTGGATTTTGGCAGGGGGGGAATAGAGCCACAAAATTGCCCATTCTCCCATTTCTGTTTGTTTTCGAGAGGGAAGGAGAGCTAAGGGGGAATTGCAGAGCCTCGAGGGGTTTGGGGAAGGCAGAGGCAGGAAAACAGCGACTGCTGCATGCAAAACACGATCCTCTCACATCCGAGGGAGCGGCTCCCCCTCCCCCTGCCATTTATTAATTAGCGAGGATGAAAAACACAGAAACACCGAGAATTGTCTGAATTTCATCCCTCTTGCTCAGGATTTGATTTCAGGCAAATTAGGCAGGATGACATCTCAGTTAAACTGAGCCCACAATGTGTCCAGGGAAGCGTCGCGGGTTCGCATAAATGAACAGAGCCCCATGATGCACGGACAGAGCCACCACCGACTGACAGGAGCTTGTTTGGCTAAGCCAGGCTTGTGGCCAGCTCCGGGATGGGCTGGGGATTCAAAAAAATCACCAATCCTCATTTCTGTTAAGTTTCAAAACACCCAGCTCTTCCCCTTCCTCCTCGTTCCCAAAATGTTCTGCCGCCCTCGTGCAGGTGGCACTCAAAAGCGCCTGGAAAACGCTGGAAAATGCTCAAAACCACTCAAAAATGCCACCAGCACCCACTTTTCCCTCCCCTGCAGCCGCTGAAAGTGAGAAGAGCCGGTGATGTTAGTAGAAAAGACAAGCGGGGATATTATTTCATTATAATGTTTTGCTGCCCCGCTTCTTAACTGTGCCCCGCATCAACCCAAAAGAAGAATTAATGAACTGGAAGAAAATGATTGAATCAGTAAAGAATTCAGAGTGGTGTTAATTCTCCCCCAGCGGACAGTGAAATGGTAGAAGGAAAATCCCAGGATTCCTAGCCTAGGAAGCCATCCAGTTTTTCCTTGACTGATTGGATGTGATTGACTGGCTGTTCAAAGGAGTCTCATGTTTTTGGAGCGCTGCCAAAGTTCCCCTCCACCTCTGACCCTGTCAACATCGGGAATGGAGTGATGGATTGACTTTGGTTATGGCCTGGAAACCATATTGGGTTCCTGATGGGATGTAGAGTCCAGAGGCCTTGAACATATGGAAGAGAGAAATAAAAAAATAAAAATAATAAAATCGACTCTCTAAAATCAAGAAAATTATTAGAAATCATCTCCTGATATGAATTGGAGGAGACATTTGATACTCCCAGATCTGTTTTCACCCGTTGATAAACTTAATGAAAGCAGCTCTACCTTTTATTTCCACKGGGTTTGTTTTTGTGGGATCATATGCTAATGAGTGGGTGTTATTTTGTTGAGGTTTTATTTTTTTTTTTGAGCAGCCCCCGCACAACCATTTCAGCACTGCGTTTTTACACCCGCTCCAGTTGGCCCATTAGGCTTTAACGACACCATGTTAAGTGCCAGTAATGAATAGGCAAGTAATTAACACTTGCAAGGCAAAAAACATTCCTTTATTTATTTATTTATTTATTTATGTTTTTTTTAATTAATTTATTTCCTTTCCAATACGCTCGGGTTTTTGGGGTGGTGAGGAGCCTTCGCGGCTGCAGGGGGCTTGCCCCGGGCCTCCGCCAGCAGTGGGAATTCAGGAATTCCCAGGTGTGGATGGAGCAATTCTCGGGTGAGGTTTGGGATGTTCGATGCTCCCACCTGCAATTTGGGATGTTTGATGCTCTAGTTGCAGTTGGGGATGTTTGATGATCCGAGCTGCAATTTGGGATATTTGATGCTTTCGGCAGCAGTTTGGGATGTTTGATGCCCCCAGTCTCAGTTTGGGATGTTTGGTGCTCTCGGCTCAGTTTGGGATGGGCCCTCCCCAGGCACAGTGTGGAATGTTTGATGCTCCCAGTCTCAGCTTGAGATGTTTGACACTCCCAGTCTCATTTTGGGATGTTTGATACTCTCAGCTCATTTTGGGATGTTTGATGCCCCCAGTCTCAGTTTGGGATGTTTGACGCTCCCAGCTGCATTTTGGGATGTCTGATGCCCCCCAGTCTCCGTTTGGGATGTTTGACACTCCCAGTCTCAGTTTGGGGTGTTTGATGGTTTCAGCTACGTTTTAGGATGTTTGATGCTCCCAGTCTCAGTTTGGGATGTTTGATGCTCTCAGCTCAGTTTGGGATGTTTGACGCTCCCAGCTCAGTTTGGGATGTCTGATACTCCCAGCTGCATTTTGGGATGTTTGATGCCCCCAGTCTCAGTTTGGGATGTTTGACAATCCCAGGAATTTTTCTGTTCTACTCCAGGGATTTACACCCACACCCACAAACAGCCCCAGAGCCGTTGGGATGGGGATAAAGAAATGACACCTTTGAGTGATGTTTTGATCGCCATTGGGGTGGGGATAAAGAAATGACACTTTTGAGTGATGTTTTGATCTCTTTCTTGCTCTGCAGCCACGCCCTGCATCAAAGCCATCAGCCCCAGCGAGGGCTGGACCACGGGGGGAGCCATGGTGATCATCATTGGGGACAACTTCTTCGACGGGCTGCAGGTGGTGTTCGGGACCATGCTGGTGTGGAGTGAGGTGGGCACGGCTCCCTCCCCATTCCCAAACTGGGGAAACGCCCCTTTCCCCGGCAGGGATGGGGTTAATTCCTGCTCCTGTCCTGCGGTGGTGTGGGAGGTGTGATTTGTGATTGTGACAGAATGTGATTTCCTGAGTGTGATGTTATTGACTGATACCCAGAACAGARTGGAAAAATTCCAGGCATCTGTAAAATCCAGAAAATTAATAGAAATTATCTCCTGATATGAGTTGGATGAGACTTTTGATGTTGTCATATCTTATTTTTTACCTGTTGATGAACTTGATGAATGTGGTTCCACCTGTTTTTCCCCAGGGTCTGTTATTTACGCAGATTTATTTACTCAGGTAAAGGTAGAGAAATAAAGAAAGGATTTGAGTTTGGGAATGAGAGAAGGAATCAGTCGGAGCCCAGAAATTCTGCCCAATTCTGTCCAATTCTGCCCAATTCTGCCAAAATTCTGCTGCCCAAGACAGCAATTCAACAGAGGGCTTAAGAGTCTGAGCTTCTTGATGAGAAGTTATCCAAAAAATTAACCTAAAATAAAAAAAATCAAAAGAAAATATTAATAATGAATAAATATAATATATAAAAATTTATCCTAAAAGTGTGTTCCTCTGCTGGAGCCAAGAACCAGCCCAGGTGGATCCCCCCTCTGATCTACAGTGAACATACAGAAATAAAAGAGTTTTATAAACTCTTAATCAAAGAGTTTGTCCAAATTTGTCCAAGTTGGACAGGACTTGGAGGAATCTGGGATAGYGGAAGGTGTCCCTGCCYACGGGGGTGGGACAGGATGTTTTTTAGGGTCCTGGTCACCCAAATATTTCTGTGATTTATCACAAACTGAGAGATCAGCCCAGACCCCTGACCATGCCTCTCCCGTTTCCACCCCCAGCTGATCACGCCCCACGCCATCCGCGTGCAGACGCCACCGCGCCACATCCCGGGCGTGGTGGAGGTGACATTGTCCTACAAATCCAAGCAGTTCTGCAAAGGAGCTCCGGGCAGGTTCATCTACACAGGTGAGTGCCCGGGATTTCCACTCTGAGCTCTGTGTCCTTGATGGTACGGACAACCCTTGGTTTTATTTATTCATATATATATATTTTTTWAAATTATTTATTTATCTATATATTTGGATATGTAAGGAGCTGGTTTCATAAGGAGTTTTTACTATAAATCAATATTTTTTCCAACTGCTGTTGCGACACAGGGCTGCCTACAGGGCGCACAACCAAATATTTACCTTTGACCCAATTATCTCCAAGTTTTTCTTTCCTTTTTTTTTTTTTTTTTTGATTTAT